TAAACTATATAAGCACGTAATTTGGAATTATATAATATTGAAATATATAGGAAAGAATAAATAAAGGGTATAGAATATCTTAATATAATCCCCTACCTCTAAATTCTTCTTTCTTATAAAATATAAAAGTATTTAGCTAATTTCGAGCGTATTTATGAAGCTGCATTTTAATAAAGCGGCCATATTCTCATACTAGATTTGGGGGGTGGAATCCAGATATTCATTTGACTATTGAAGGTATTTTCTTTTTATATCAGTCCATGAAAATAATCACCAAGAAGAGAAGCGTATCTTTAAAAGATTAATAATAGTAATAATCGTATGGAACAGCCCAACCAACCAACCAAGAGACGATGAAGGCTATACAAGTGACTGGGTGATCCCTTCAGCTTCAATAGGAGCATCAAGGAGGTGATCTTGGTCCTGAGCGGCAGACTTTTCCTCGTCCTTTTTCTTCTCGTGCTCTGCCCGCCAGCGGTCTCGCTCAGACGGCTTGCGAGAGTTACCTCTGGCCTTTCTTATGTGCAGCCGGTTGCCGTAGATGGCGCTGACGCCGTCCAGGGTCTTGAGAGCCTTGTCGGCCTCCTCTGCAGACTCTAGGTCCACGAAGAGGTAGTAATACTGGCTGCCAGACAGGGGCAGTTTGTCCCTATTAGATATTATGACTTTACTTATTGCCTCACTATATAGGATCTCGGTTAATTAATAGTAGACCCAGCCAAGCCCAGACGCATTAATGCAACAGGAAAAAAAGGGGGAAAAGGGGGGAGGGAAGATATGTAGAAACAGACATACATGTTAAACCCGTAAAAGACCTTGCGGATCTCGTAGTCGACGGTAGGCTGGTTACGCATCCGAGGCAGGCCACCGACGAACAGACGGCGACCCTCTGCAGCGTAGCCGTACCAATGCTTGGACGCATCGTCTCGAGTCCACCGCTCAAAGACGAACTTGGGAGGGTAAGTCCCCGCCGCCGCCGCCGGCTGCTGCTGTTGCTGCTGCTGCTGCTCGTTTGACTCCTCCCTGGGCTCCGGCGAGTCCAGGTCCAGGTCTCGCCGGCCCAGCGGCGGCTGCAGGTCTGCCCTGGGAACTCCCGGATTGACCTTGACGGGACGGCCCAGGACGAGCTTACCGTTTAAATCAGCCATGGCCCGCTCAGCCTGGTCTGTTGACTTGAGGTCGACGAAACAGTAGGATGGATTCCGTCCCGTAAAGGGGTCAATTGATATATAAATGCGTTCTCTTCACACACAACACACCCAAATGGGGATAAGACCGGCGGCGTACTAGGTTAGGAACTGAGAGGAATAATAATAACAAAAGCCTGAAACGAGAGCAATAGAAAGAAAGAGAGAGAGAGAGAAGGGGGGAAGTTCTAGACGTACATGTTGTAGGGGCTGGTGGTCTCGTCTCCGCCCTGGCCGCCGAACAGCTCGACGACGTCCTCCTTCTTGGCCATATAGGGCATGTTGCCGACGTACAGCCTCCTCCGCTCGACGATGGCCGGGTGAATGGGCGTCTGCACCTTGGAAGACGACGAGGGAGGAGACTCGTGGTATCGGGCACCCAGCGTCCTCAAGCTGCCGCTGCCGCAGTCAACGGCCTCCCAGCCACGAAAGCCCCGGATGTTGCCTCCTCCTCCTCCTCCTCCTCCTCCTGCTCCTCCTCCTGCTCCTCCCTCGCCGCGGCGGCTACTGCTGCTCCTGCTGCTGCTGCTGCCCGGCTTCCACCGCGGCCGCTCGAAGGGTGTCGACGTCAGCGAGGCGGTCGAGCTGGAGCTGGAGCTGGAGCTGGAGCTTGACGCAGGACTCGCAGCCGGCCGGGGCTCCCTTTGGGGCTCCCGCTGCCGCCAGTTGGTCGAGCTCTCTGATCGTCTCGCGCCGTGCTGAGCCATGGCGCCTCGGTCGTTTTTCTACCCGCCCAGATCAGCTGTCTGCAGTCTCCCCCCGGGGGCCATTATTATTATTATCATTGAAGGGCGATGGATGTCTCTGTCTCTCTGCCGCTTACCTGGCCTGTCTCTGGTCGCTGTCTTGGGTCGACTGCCATCCGCTCTCCCCGGGGCCCTTGGTCGAGCTGAAGTTTTGTGTGCGCCAGAAGTAAAACCGCCAAGTCTGGAGCTAGCTCGTGGTTAATATTAACTATAAGTATAAAAGTCAGTCCCTTTCGACTTCAACGGCGTCCGTCTGCATTATTATTATTATTCTCGATCTACGGCCGTGTCTCTGCTGCGAGTCTCCGCTGGCTGTCTCGAGCTCTCCATCTTGCAGCTCGCTAGCAGTCGATCTAGCTAGGGGGGTGCTGCTGGAAGGGGGGCCGGGCAGTGGTCCCTCTCTCACCCCCTGGGCGGCAAGACGCAGCCAGGGCCCAGCAGAGAAATAAATAGCACCAGCGCAGCCTCTCACGTTCTGGGTCCAGGGGCGCAGATTTGGTCGAGCAGCCAGCTAGAGGCAGAGACAGAGCCAGCAGCAGCAGCAGCAGCAGCAGAAGCAGAAGAAGAGGACGCACGCAGACTCGCCACGAAGAAGAAAAGAAGAAGCAGACGCGGCCGAAGAAGCAATGGAAGGCCGCAGAGCCAGCAGGAGATGCTGCTGCTGCTGCTGCTGCGTCTGCGTCGTAGGAAAAAGGAGACGGCCGTAGACAGTCAAGCAGACCCAGCGAGCTCCCCCTTTGCCCCTGAGCTACGTAAGATAGGCGTTTACTTATTTATATCTCGCTGGCAAGCCTCGAGTTTATGCTCGCTGTTATTATTTATTATTTATTCGTCTGTAGAAAAAGCCGAACTCGCAACCACCAACTTCACCCTCACCCTCACCACCCTCACTATCACCATCGCCATCACCATCACCAGGTAAGCCGTGCCGTGCCGTCTTCGTGTATCTTCTGCTGCCTTGCTTCTGGTCTGCGTCTGCCCTGCTGGCCAAACCGGCCGGGAACCCTGCCCAGCCCGTCCCTTTCGCCTGCAGCGTCCTCAACCCCTCGAAAAAGGACCTCATCCCCTTCTCTGCACCTCCAAGCACCAGCACCAACGCTCACGCTGACCAGCTCGTCTCCGTCTGTCCGTCTCTAGATCGCCTGCCGGTGCCTGATCTCGCTCAATTGACTCCTCTTGCCGCAGCAGCTACTCGAAGCTCCGAGCTTAACACTAAAACGCCCGTCGTTTGTTTATCCGGCCTCCCTCGACATGGCTAGTGGCAGGGCATTTGCAACCCATCTCCAGGCTCCCGGGGCAGAGGGACGCGATGAGAGCCAGAGCAGACACCATTTCAAATCTCAGTCCAACATGGTGAGTCCCCTCTTCTCCCTTTTTCTTCTTTTCTGGCTGCTGTTGGTGGTGCTTTTTGGGCCGTGGTGGTGGTGGTGGCGTACTCTGCTCGTGGCCGGGGGGGGGGGGGGTTGATTGATACCCTGACCCTCCTCGACGGCCAGCATCGCCTATCACGATCAACCATGGTCTACGATGGTTTACTGTGGTCTACAATGATCTACTGCATTCTACTGTGGTCAATGACGGCAATAGATGTGTTATGTACGGATATGCTAACAGAGACAGGCCTTCGAGAGCGCCTCGACAAACGTGGCGGCTGCGCAGATGCGCAACGCCCTCAACGCCCTTAGCGACACCGTCAAGGATCCCGCCGAAAAGAAGCGATTCGAGGCCGAGATGGACAACTTCTTCTCGCTCTTCCGCAGATACCTGAATGACAAGGCCAAGGGCAACGTCCTCTCCTGGGACCGCATTGCTCCTCCACAGCCCAACCAGGTGGTCGAGTACGACGACCTGGGCGAGTCCGCCTCGGTCGAGTATCTCAAGAAGCTCGCTGTCGTCAAGCTCAATGGCGGCCTGGGTACCTCCATGGGATGCGTGGGACCAAAGTCCGTCATCGAGGTCCGCGAGGGCATGTCCTTCCTCGACCTCTCCGTCAGACAGATCGAGTACCTCAACCGCACCTACAACGTCAGCGTGCCCCTGGTGCTCATGAACTCCTTCAACACCGACGATGACACCCAGTCCATCATCAAAAAGTACGAGGGCCACAACATCGACATCATCACCTTCAACCAGTCCAGATACCCCCGTATCCTCAGGGACTCCCTTCTCCCAGCCCCCAAGAGCTACAACTCCGCCATCAGTGACTGGTACCCCCCAGGTCACGGAGACGTCTTCGAGTCCCTCATGAACTCGGGCACCCTCGACAAGCTGCTCGACCGCGGTGTCGAGATCATCTTCCTTTCCAACGCTGACAACTTGGGTGCTGTCGTCGACATGCGCATCCTCGAGCACATGGTCAAGAACGACGCCGAGTACATCATGGAACTCACCAACAAGACCAAGGCCGACGTCAAGGGTGGTACCATCATCGACTACGAGGGTAAAGCCCGCCTGCTTGAAATCGCCCAGGTGCCCAAGGAGCACGTCAACGAGTTCAAGTCCATCAAGAAGTTCAAGTACTTCAACACCAACAACATCTGGATGAACCTCCGCGCCGTCAAGCGTGTCGTCGAAGAGGGCGGCCTCCAGATGGAGATCATCCCCAATGGCAAGACCATCCCTGCCGACAAGAAGGGCGAGGCAGACATCTCCATCATCCAGCTCGAGACTGCCGTCGGTGCTGCCATCCGCCACTTCAAGAACGCTCACGGAGTCAACGTGCCCCGTCGCCGCTTCTTGCCCGTCAAGACCTGTTCGGATCTCATGCTCGTCAAGTCTGACCTCTACACCCTCAAGCACGGCCAGCTCGTCATCGACCCCAACCGCTTCGGTGACGCTCCCCTGATCAAGCTCGGAACAGACTTCAAGAAGGTCTCCGACTTCATGAACCACATCCCCAGCATCCCTCGTATCCTCGAGCTCGACCACCTCACCATCTCCGGTGCTGTCAACCTCGGCCGTGGTGTCACCCTCAAGGGAACCGTCATCATTGTGGCCACCGAGGGCAGCACCATTGACATCCCCCCAGGCTCCATCCTTGAGAACGTCGTCGTCCAGGGCAGTCTTCGCATCCTCGAGCATTAGACGCTGGGCCCTTTTCTTCGCATACTCCACTACCATTCTCATCCCCCCTTCATGGCCATCGTCATATCATTGAACATTGACATGCTATTGCCATTGCCTTGCTCTACAGTATCCCGTTTTTAATCCTTTTTGTTTTTCTCCTCTGTCTGCGTGCAAAGTTTCCAATTTCATACTAAAGAAAAAAATCTGCTGTCGTCGGCGTTGTCTTTTACTTCCTTTTTTCTCCCCCCCTGAGCGTCTCCTAATCAACAAATAACACAATGCATATTTACTAACATTCCTTCCCTTTACATATGCTAAGAGAGAGAAAAATTGCAGAAACCAAATATTAAGATGAGCGGCTATACGTGCGTGAATCGAAGCAAAAGTGGTCATCGAAAATGGACAGTTATCATTTACTCTTCCTTCTCCAATCTGTCGTCTCATATAGTCAATTGTTCCTATTTGATTGACGGAAAATGCAATCCATCATACCCCTTAGGTCATGGCTTTATGTTTCATAGTCGCTTTTAATATCATTACACGCAGAAAAGTGCATAGAATATGCCAGGGTTAGATACTGCATTCGACATTTTACCAGCTTCCTCCCTATAAATGCCCCCATAGGCTCACCAAGCCAAATAAGAGAGAGAGGTGATGTCCTTCCTAGACCAAAAATACAAAGAAATGGATTAAAAAAATGTAGTAGAAACTGGGTCGGCCGTCAGTCATCATAAATCATAGCCACAGCAACAATGGCATACAGTTAACTTCGTCTCCGATGCGTAGACCGAGAACGTGGCCTACCCCCCGGATAACTACCATACTGCCCTTCACCACTGCTCCTATTCTTCCTTCTCTTCTCCTTACTACTGCCGGAGCTGTTCCTCAGCCCGTTTTTAATAGTAGACTCCAATTTTGCGGCATATTTCGCTCGTCTGCTGGTCTCCCGCTGACCGCCGCTGGAATTAATGATCGGTATCGGACCGGCGGTAGGAGGCATTGGTGCCGGAGGAGCAGCATATGCTGATGACGGCGGCTGTCCTTGTGCTTGTGCTTGTGTTTGTGCAGCTGTAGCGTATTCATCGTCCGAGATGTCGATGCTGCTATCACTCTCACTCCATGTCTCGTCCTCGCCGCGTCGTGGACGAGACCGTGAGCGTTCTATATCTCGCTCTCGTCCTCGTTCTCGTTCTCGCTCTCGCTCTCGTGCACTTCGAGACGAATGTATCTGGTCATCTGCATGTCTGTAGTCTTGGTAATAATGATGCTGGCGACGAGATGGGGACCCGCGAGAGTGAGAGCGAGGACGGATCTCAGTGCCCCGTCTCCCCCTTGTTTTCCTCTGTCTTGGCTCACGAAGAGATTGGTGACGGTGCAAGCGTGATCGATGATCTGGGTGCATTGGCTCGCTGTACTGATCAGTTGTCGTGGTAGGGGATGTCGGAGGAGACATATGCGGGTTCTCTGCTGGGTTGCTGGACCTTGAGCCGCGGTGAGAGCTGGGAGTGGAGTGACTGAAGTTGATCATGCCATCGTCATCGAACAGGTCAACATATCTAGGGTGAAAATGGTGGCTATGATGCTTTGGTGAAGGAAATGCATTTGCTGCACTGTCGTCGTAGGTTGTCGGTTTGATTTCGGGTATGTGTTTGGGCGGAGGGTACGAGTAGTAGGTCTCAGGTTCCTCCTCGTCTATCCTCCTCCTTGGTGACTCGTGCATGGGCTTATGTGAGGGTTGTCGATGGCGGTGCATGGATTCGTGAGAATGATGTCGTACGTGGGAGGAGCGAGAAGGGAATATCTCTTCGTGGGCAGGATGTCCGTGGTCGTGGTGTCGTGGTTCGCCCATCCGGTTGTGGTGATGATGTGCGTGAATATCTTCAGCAATAGCAACCCCTTCGTCGTCACCATCTGATGATTCGGGGTGTGCCCATGACCGTCTGTATGCACTCGGTGGGCTGGAATGGCCACGATAATGACATGATGTCTTGGATCGAGAGGCTGATGCAGGACGCTCGAAGCCGGCTGTCTTGGGCCCGGTGTCACCAGTATAGTTGGCTGCCTCAGTATACCGTAAAGGATGTGGGATACGGCTATGAGGTTCTCTAGAGCCTTGTCTCGATGCAGTGGCCCCATTTCTACCAGTGGGTGAATAGTAGTGACTCTGGTTGAAATAATCACCATCTTCCTCGTTTCTTGACTGGCGAGTCCCCCGTGTGCACGACGGAGGATGCGTATTACCAGGCGGCCGTGTATGTGGAGTAGTGGCAGCAGACTCTAGTTCTAGACGATTACTGACGGTTTCATGCCATTTAACCATGTCAGGATCTGGCTGTGTGGGGAAAGCAGACGCGGGAATGGTCTTGGGAAGCAAGTATCCTTCATGGACGTCAACTATATCAAACATTTCCACTGCTCTCTGGAGAAAAGGGGTGTGTTCTTCGGGGCAGAGCAAGAGCTGGATTGTCTGCCATCTGATATAGCCATGTGGCAGCAAAGCTGGAATAGACGGGGCTTCAAAGGCATTCTTGGTCGGTTGGAGGGTATGGAAGCAGCCTAGAGACTGGTATATAAACGAAAGAGAGGCACTGGGAGTGTTCAGAAACAAACTATCATAGTTTCCTCCTACAGCACGATAAAAGGCAGCCAGTTTCTCAGGGGTAAGCTCCTTTGTAGAAGATGAGGGATCGAGTTCAGACTATTTACACCGTTAGTCTATCACATAAATATGCTTTTGACGATGTATAGATATTATCATCAGGCAAAAAAAGACAAGAAGAAGACGAGAGGACGGGGTATATTTACGATAACACCTGCGAGCCCCAGACACAGCTGCTCTAGCCTCGGCGAGGGACTCTTGTCCGGCTGTATGAGATAGCCCCAGTCGAAGTCCTTCGCGGGCTGCTTTGGTCCCATCGTGTTGTACTCTATAAGAGCAACCATTTGACGTCCTCGAGGCCTCGCCGTCGCTTTTTCTAGAACGCCGCGCTTGGGGTATATCCACACTGTGTGTTTTTTTGTCTTGCTCTCTCACTCTTTCGCGAGTCAGGAGGGGCTCAGCCTGCTTTTTAACAGCAGACGAATGAGGCGCAAACAGGCTGCGATGCAGGGGTCGTTTGCTGCGGGCGCATGGTTGCCTAGGCAGTGTGGCCCAGGCAGCGAGAGGCAGCAAGAAGTCGAACGCCTGCGAGGA